AAATAAAAGTTCTTAATATTCTTTTTCTCCATCCTGGATGGTGACTGTCATTTCTGGTTGGTGCGCATGAGGCCCTGTCGAAGCCCCAGTCTAAGTCGCTATAGGGGATTAAAGGAGGCCCCTGGTGGCCCCGGCTTTGCTGGGCCGGAAAATGGAGATTTTGGGCTAAGAATCACATTTGTCTAGTTTCCGTATCTGATGCTTTTCCATCTCCGGGCCTTGCTGACCCTGGAGGGACTGTCCCCTCCCAAGGCTCACAGATCCCTAGAGACAGCTCAGAACTAAAGTGAAAGCATATGCCTTCCACCTCCATGTCCCCAACCCCTCCCGGATGGGACACTCTCACTCAGGGCCACGATTCCTCTCCCTGATCACCCCAGGACCAGACACCGCACCGCTAGGGACGATTCCCACGTTCGGGAGCCAGCCGCCATCATCAAACCAGCCAGTCCTGAGCCTGTTCGCCCCGCCTCTCCCATCCCTTCCCACGGAAGCCACCAGAAAGGCTCTTGCACCACCACCCCCGCATCTCTGCCTCCTGACCAACCCAGGTGCTTCTCCATGTGCCTCCCCCTCCCCCGCCGCCCATGGCATGGAGTGTCCCTTCCTCTCGGTTCTGTGAGCATAATAAGCCATCTCCTCAATGGCAGTCACCTCCTGATCTGTCGGCCTGGCCGCACCTGAATAATAAAGCCCAGATCCTAAAACAGTGAGCACCGCGCAGTCAGTGGCGTCGTGGCACACACTGTCTGGTCCGCCTGCCGCCGGCCTCAGCTTCCTCTGCTGAGCATCCTTCTTCCCGTGCTGTTCCGATAACCCTACTTCTCACCTTCACTTACTCCTTCCGCCTGCACCTTCGCTCTCCTCTCAGTCACCCCTGTATGTTTCTGGTCCCTTCCGTAGAAACCTGTTGTGGACCCTCCTCCAGCCGTCGCCCGGCTTTCCCCTTCACGGTCACACTTCTCACGAGATTTCTCTGCATGCTCCTCTCGGATCCACAGCGATACGCTTTCTGAACTGCCGTCCCCCCTGGCGTCACTCATTAAGGCCACCGGAGACGGCCATGTCGCCACATTCGGCCAAGACTTCCTTCTCATCTTACTTCTAGGGAAGCGCTTTTACATCCACCGTCTCATGCAGTGAAACGCAGCCACAGAGGAGACTGTAGTTCAGAGAGGTTGAGTCTGTTCCCCAAGACTGCACCGCTAGCTAGCACTAAATCCATACTAGAGCCCAGATGTCACTCATATGTACCCCCCGTGACGTGGGATCACTTCCTGAGGCAAAGAACATTCCATGCTCATCTATGAAAGAGACTTACAGGGACAAGTGGTTTTAGGTCTTTTTTGAGAGAGTGAAGTTTTGTTTTTTTTTTTAAAAATTGATTCAACAGAACACCAGGGATCTTTACGAGAGTGGTCTGTGTTGGGGGAGGATTAGAAAGCAATCCAGAGAAAAGACCCTCCCAACCAAGGGCATCACCTGACCCGCCTACTGATTCTGCTCCCCCCAGTCCAAGCTCCCACTTCCTGAGGCCCTCGTTACACCTGGGGGCCTGGGCGCAGCACACACATTCTCTGCCTCATGGCCAGTAAGGGACTATGTTTCTGTGATTTAGTCCTAGCAGCCCTTGTGGACGCCCCCACCCCCACCCCCACCCCCACCGAAGCCACATGGTCTTAAGGCAGATACAGGTGACCCTTGCCCCACGTCCTGAATACTAATACCTGCCCCTGTCTGGCTCAGGTGAGTTTCAGGGCCCCAAGGCTGTTCCCGCTTCATCTGGATGTGAACAGGCCAGCTTTGGGGTGGGGGCAGGTGTGGGAGCGGGCCCTCGCGGGCTGAAAAACCACCAACAGCCTTCATGTTCCATGGCAGGTAGAAAGCGGGGAGGCCCAGATAAGGTTCGTGGAGACCTTGGCTCCTAAAATAACACGCCCCTCCTTTTCCCAAGAGAAGGCCTGTGATCACCTGGCTGAAGTGAGTGTCACGAATGAGCGACACAGGTCTGTGGTCAGCTGCATAGCGACCCCCAAATATGACTAGAGCCTAATCCTCAGAACCGGGGACTGTGACCTGGCAGAAGGGACTTTGTGGGCGTGATTCCGTTCCGGACCTTGGGAGGAAGAGGTTATATGGGCAGGCCCGATGCAGTCGCCATGGTGCTCACAAATAGAAGACGGGGGTGGGGGTGGAAACGAGGTGTCAGAAGTGGTCTGAGGAAGCAGCCATGAGCCGAGGAACGCTGGCAGCCTCCGGAAGCCAGAAACGGCGAGTCAAGGGTTCTGCCAGAGGGACCCACTGACGACACCCCGACGTCAGCCCACTGAAACTCGTGTCTGATTTCCGGCCTCCATCACTGGAAGAGAGAAAAATGCGCGTCGTTTTGAGCCACTAAATCGGCGGTCATTTGTCACGGCAATCATAGGAAGCGAATACAGATTCTAGTTTGGGTTTGGGGGCAACGCCGTCGGCACCTCTCCCTTTGGGGATGACTGTGAAATCACGTAGCTCAGAGATAAGGCGCCGCCTGGTTCCATCTGATCCGTGGGTACTTATTTATTGAGCATCTACTATGACAAGCTGGAGCTCCTGGGTCCACCCACGTCTGAATAACTTATAAGTTATTTTAGGTACTTATTTATTGAGCATCTACTATGGCAAGGCAGAGTTGTGGGCGTGGGGACTTATGCACCAGTGGGGGAAGCAGGCGATGGTCCAGTGCATGAAAAATAATAAGATGCTTTCAAACGCTGGTATCTAGGAAGGCCTCTTTGAGGCGGTGACGTTTGAGCTGGGACCGGAAGGATGAAAAGGACACAGTTGCATGAAGATCTGGGGTGGGCATTCTGTGTGCATTCAGGCAGAAGACACAGCCATGGAGAGAGAGAGAGAGAATCTGAATGTTCAAATAATAGATTGGAGACTCGAAAAGGGAGGGAGGGAGGGAGGAGGAGAAGAGAACATTTCGGGACTCGAAGGCGTGTTAAGCAGACTGGATTTTATTCCCAACGCAATAAAGATGTCATTAGGGTCCAAACAAGATAGTGTCGCAAACCTTCACGGCTATGGCTTTTTCAAAGGCTGCTGCGGCTACCTTATGGAGTATGGATGTGGGGCGGGGGAGGTACAAAGCAACCGGCTCGAGAGACTTCTGCCGCTGGGACAGGTGAGGGGAGGGGCGGGGAGAGGGCGGAGTCACCTGGAGATATGTGGGCGGGGCCAGTGGAAGGAAGGACGTATAGTCACATGGGTCGGCGAAGTTCCTTTTCTGGTATTAAAAGGAAAACAGGGATTTGAAGAGCGTTCTAGGGCGTTGCTGCCGCCTAAGAGATGGGGTCACTGACTGAGATGGCAAGAGTGGGAACAGGTTTGGGGTTGGACCTCTTTCTTACTGCCTGGAAAAGCGGTGTGACCAAGCTCTGGGGACCTCCGCCTGGTGTCGGAGGGTGACGCGCGCACAGCGGTTAAATGCAGAGCCCGCGGAGCGAGAGCGCCTGGGACCGAACCTCGAGGGCTTTCTAGCTGTGCGACCCTCACTTTCTGCTAGGACTAAGTAAGAAGTTGCTTAACTTCTCTTCGCCTCGGCTTCCGCGAGGCCAATGGGGGTCACGCAACTAGCTCCCGGCGATGCTGTGGGAACTAGACAGTGCCCAGCATGATTGACGTGTTGCGATCCCGGCTTGCCCGGCAGCCCTGCCTCAACTCCTGGCCCGTCGGCTTTTCTAAGGCAGCATCCACCCGGGAAAAGAGGTAAGGGGTGAAGACGTGCAGGGGGCTCTTTTTAATCAGCCTCCACCCAGCCAGCACACAATATATAATTTTATTAGCGTCGATCCGCTCAGAAAAGGATGCCAGGGCCTGGGAAACAGCGCCTCGCCTCCTGACTTTGGGGGAGCTACAGTTCTTCCTTCGCTCCCGCTTTCTCCTCCCGTCCGGACTGTCCCTTCTTTGGCTTAACCGCCTTCTCCTCCTCCTCCTCCTCCTCAGCTGCTTCCGTCTGCCCCTCTGGCTCCTCCAGCTGGGTCACATTCTCCGGCTCCGGCAAATTCTGCTCGGGCGACTCTTCCTGTAGTAAAGGTACCTCCTCCTCTTTAGCTAAGATCTCTTCTTCTACCTCTTCGCTCTGCTCAGTCGACATTCGCTATGCAAGAGAAGGAGGGAGGGAGGAAGGGAGGGAGGACAAAGAAATAAAGAGGCGAGAGATCTATGATCATCGCGATGGCAGTTGCCAAGACCTCTCTTTCTGGAAGGAGCCAGAGAGTGTCACCTGGAGGACCCTAATGGATGCACAGGTCCATGTGGCCGCGGTGGGGGCAGTGCCTGACTGCGGTTTTGCTTCTGCAGTAAGAGGACCTTTGGGAACCGCCCTTCCTCCACTCTGAGTCTATAGATGAGGCTGCCCCCCACCCCCTGCACCCCCGTGCTTAGCTCCTGGGCTGAGCTTGTGACCCAGGCCTCGCGAATGAGCTTCCTATCCGGGACCTTTGCTAGGACTGCTAAGAAGTAGGTGCTTTCTAAGCTGGGAGGGTAGTAATGTGAAGCTGCGGGCAATCTCTCCGTGACCCTCCGTGGGGCAGTGACTGCTTGGGAATGAAGCCGATGTAAAGGATGACAGAGAGAGGGAGACACAGGACAAGCTGGAGCTCCTGGGTCCACCCACGTCTGAAGTTCTGCCAGTTACGTGGGATAAAATCCGGGATCGTTTAAGCCAGTGGGTAGAGTTTCTGACATATGCGACAGAAAGGGGTCCTGACTAATACGGATGGCTCCTTCTGGCAGATGGCCTCACTGAAGCATGAATGGGATTAGGATGGAACAGGGGCTGTCATCTACCCTCAGAGGACAGGACCCCGTCAGGACACCTGGTCACCCACTCAGGATGCTGCCTTAGATGCTGTGAGACCTCAGAGCCTTTGCTCTCCCTGGTGCTTCTAGAGTCTGCCGTGTCTGCCTCCTTGTAGCAAGCGCTCTTGACATCACGTCACCCACACTGGATGGTCGTTCAGCCTCAACTGTCTTCAGAGGGCGCAAGGCTGTGGCAGTCTTGGCATACGCTCTCTCACCCGCCGGGTTCTCGCTGATTCCGTGTGGGGCAGAATAATCCAGGGTACTGCCGATTCACCTTACCTCCTCGCTCTCCTCAGTCCTGGTCTTGATTTGACTTTCCAGGAAGTCTGAAAAGCCTCGCATGGTATGTTCTCCCTTATACTTTACCACCTAGGAAGAAAACAGAACAGAGTCAAAACGGCCGCCTCTTCCTGCAGAATACTCAGGGATTGCTCCATAGATAAAAATCCAGGGTCAGATTCCTAAGCACCGGAGTACAAGGAGCAGGTCCCTTAACCTCTTTGAGGCCCCATCCCCTGTGGCTTTAAAATAAGAACGCTAAAAATTCCTGCATCGCAGGGCTGTGACGTGGTGGTTCAGAGCCTGGACCACGCTGGTTCCCTCTCCTCTTTCGGTCTTTAAGATTAGGAAGCTGCCTACTGCCCACTGGCTGCCTAAACCATCCTTCAGATAACTGCAGAACTGCAATCGCCTCACGCTCTCAATCCAGCCTAATTTTCCACGGCTCCCCGCATGCATCCTCTGTCCTAGGATGAGGACACGTCCCTCACAGTGCTGTGGCCATCCTTCTGCCCACCTCCTCGTTCTTAGTACACGTCCTAGCTACGATTCCCGCCCCTCTGCTATTCTGATTTAAATCCCCAGGGTGTTCTTCAGAAACCCATGTCTGCGTGAAGACTTCCGGCCACATCGTCCCCCCCCCAGAATGTGTCCCCTCCAGTTCCAGTCGCGTTCGGAGGTGGGCCCAGGTCGTGACTTCTCCCCGCTATGCTCGGTCAGACTCTTCTTGGGAGCAGGGACCTTGGCTTGTGATTCTTTGGTTGACGCCCTCCCCGCGTGCCAAAGCAGCAGAGAGAGAGTGTCCCATGAGCACTGCAGGTGTTGGCTGCCCATAATACCAAAGTGTCAGAAAAAACACCGATTATTTTTCTACCGTGTACTCTTCCTTCTTCCGGGAGCACCCCACACCCAATATTCACATGGCAGTTTCCCCCGCCATGTCCCATATCGTCTGGGTACCAGAGGCAACCATGTAACCTGGGCCTGACCCACCCAAACACCCACATCCGCTTGGCCACAGTGATTGGGTCAAGGATGAGTAGCCGGCTTCAGCTGGACCCAATAACCCAATAATAGTGAGTCCTGGGACTTCCGTGGAAGCTCATGGCAAATGCTTTAAATGGAACGGGGGACGATAGTTGAGGCCTAGCTGAGAAGGAAGCTGGCTTGGTAGAAGGCACAGCTGGTGTAGGGACAAATGGCACTCGTGATCACAGCGTAAGCGGTTGGGTGAGTCCCAGGAGCCCCTCACCTGTTGAGAGTTGGTGGGGAAGAGCCTGAAGAAGGGGTAGCGGTCCAGGTGCATCAGCTGGATGTCGTTTGCTGTGATGTCGATCTTGGCGATGGTGACTGTAGAGTGGTTTTGATACTTTACGCCCAACTCCTCCAACACCGGGAACAGGGCCCTGCACTTGCTGGACCAGGGAGCGTCTGCAAGAGAGGGGCCAGGGTCAGGCTCAGCCGGCAAGGGACCCCTGGAAAGGGGACCCCGGGCCTCCTTGAGCTTTGAGTCTGGCCCAGGCACCCAGCCTTCTGGACGGACATCGGGGAGCAGCTTCAACCCGGAGGGGACCCGAACCCTGCCTTCTGTCGCCCCATGAAAGTTCCTTTTCTCCATGGGAGGCGTGGCCTCGAAGGCCCCGGACACTACATTTGGATGGTCTTCCCTCCATGTACAGACCAAGTGCCTCCAGGACCGTCTGCTCTCCCAGAGGCACCCCCTGAAGGACCCCTGGAGCGGGAGGGGACATAATGGCCTCTGACAGCGGGGTCCCATCTGACAGCCCCGCTTCCAAGAAAACGAGGCTGCTTTGGCCTTTTACCAGAACCAGATGGGTGCTCTCGTAACTCCGGGTGTCAGGTGAGTGCAGAAAGGCCCCAGCCTGCCACGGAAAGGCGGCAGACCGTGGTTCTTCGGCCACGCAGACCTTAAACACCTCACCCCGTGGATGACAGTCCACATTAGTGAGGTTTCGAAAGGCCTGCATGGCAGACCCACCAGCCCTCGAGTCTCTCCCCAGGAAGTGGTCGCCTCACGGCTTACCGTGCACCCGGGAGGGTAAGGTAACTAACTAATCTCCCTGTCTGCTGGGTTTGCTGACCTGTATCATGGGCCTTCCTAGGAGGTCTATTTTGAGGAGGAAATGAGAACAGGTGTGTGAACAGCGAACTCATGCCCAACTCATTGTAAGTGCTCAGCAAATGGCAAATCCGCCTGTTGAATAAGAGGTGTCTGAAGGAGCTGCACTGTCAGGCTTCTCTGAGTCTCGGGGTGGCGGGAAGGTCGCTGGCTTCGGCAAATCAGACACAGCGAGGAAAGGACAATAGTTCCTAGGTGAGCACTGGACATAACTATAGCAGAAGGACCAATAATAGCAAGAAGAGCCATCATGTATCAAGCGCTTATGGTATGCCAGATGCTGTGCTAAGTTCTTTACGTACACCATTTGGGGCTCCAGTGTGGCCACACCTACTCGGGTCGCTTACACATTGGCCCTTCGATGAGTTACAAAAAGCCAGGACGTAGGCACTGGCGTCAGGCCAACCTGGATTCCAGTCCCAGGGAGAGAGCACTTACTAGCTGCCCGACGTGGACACACTGTCCTCACATCCCTGGGTCTCTGTTTAGTCATCTATCAAGTGGGGACACTTTCAAAAGTATGTGGCGAGGATTAAACGAGATAAAGGATAGAACGGCTTGGCATGAGGCCTGGGATACGGTGGCGTTCGGTGGTAGCCATCAGCATTATGATCATTAAAAGCCACAGGCCCGGATGACGTGGAAGGTATGCCCCACGCTCTAAGAATTCGGTCTGGGGGGACAGTTGCAGGGTGGCCGACAGCGTCTTGCCTCAAAGTCTTTGGATGTCGGAAGACCCCCCCGGTGCTGGGATAGATTTTGGAGATTCCGATGCCCAAGAATTGGGGAGAAACACCCGGAGGGTAACGCCAGGGCCCGTGCCTCCTGGGGCCTCTGTGGAGATACTCACAGAACATCACAAAAACATCCCGCTCTTTGTCGAAGACGACGAGGTTGAAGTTCTCCCCTACCAGCTGCTTCACTGGCCCCTGGTCCCAGTATTTTGGGATCTCCTCGCTGGGCTGATGTTTCTGGAAAGCAAAGGTGAGAGGTCTCGCTGTCTTCAGGAAACGGTGGGCAGTGGGGTCACCCTCTCCGGGGAACCATGGCAGGTTCTTCCTGTTCTTACGGGAGCCTCGAGGAAGAGTTTGGAAGGCTGAGGGGGCCCCTGAGCTTGCTGGTGAGCCACGGCGGTCCAGGGCAGGTCGGAGTCAGAGGGCTCAGGAGGGGACCGGGCTCCAGGCGGGGGTGGGGGCCAGCCTCGCACACACGCGAGCCTTGGGCTTCTTAGCTGGGAGAGGGGTCCACGTCTTTAGCGTCTTCATTCGTTTGCTCCCCCCACAAAAAAAGACTTAGCTGTCCCTAATTATGCCGAGAATCTAAACCGAGATCATTTACAGGACCTGTAAAATCTCACCACACTTTGGTTCCTCCCGGCCTGTCCAAGCTCATCGCCCCTCTTCCTCTGTTTTCTTCAGCCCCCTGGCCTTCCGTTTACCCAGAGGGCCAGCCCGCCGCCTGCCTCAGGCGTCTGCTCACGCCGGTCCTCATTCCTGCACCCCCTTCTGTAACTGGGTAAGCCGGACTTCTCATAACACTTGGGACTTGTCCTTGTGTCACTTAATCGAGTCTAACGCTTACGTTTGTTTTTCTGCTTATTCGACTCGTGTGTCTCTACCGCACTAGACAGAAGATCGTGAGGGACCTGTCCTCCCTCATCGTTGACTATGCACTGCCTGGGACATGGCGGGACCTCACTGAATATTTTGTGAGCGGATGAGTGGAAGGGCGAGCCTCGCTCATGCTTCTCGTTGAAGGAAGTGGGGTCAATCTCTACACCCATCGTTTCCTGGATACCCTTGAATCCCTACCCTTCTCTCCGTCTTCACTGCTCCTGCCCTAGTCCAGGACACCTCCGTCTCTCATCGTGACCAGCGTGCTGTCTGCTTCTCCTCCTAACCCTCTCCCTGCCTTTATCCTACAAGCAGGGCCCTATGTTTGCGTGGGCGTCTAGCTTCCCACTGCCTTTAGGGTACCAAATCCTCCCTGTGCTTACAAGTCCTCGCTGTCCTACCTTTCCCGGCTCAACAGCTTCATCTCCCACAATGCCCTCCCTCAGCTACTGCAAAGGACTTGAAGATGATTCCAGAAGGAGCGGAAACGGTGTGGGGGCTGGGCGTGGGAGATGGGAAATGGTGCCGATGATGGAGGCTTAGGAAGGGGCTGGATCAGGCAGATCTCGTCGGTCACGTGAAAGGTGTTCATCTCTACTCCGCGAGCGCAGGAGGACCTGTGAGCCCCTGACAGGAAGACAGACATCTCTTTAGGGGTACCTGGTGGGGAGAGGGGGATGGGTAGAGCTTCCACGGGGTGATAGAAGATGAGGTAGCCCATCTGAAGCCAAGGCTGAAGGAGGGAAGGGGGCGTGAGGAGAACCGGCTCAGGGAATTGAAGAACGAACACACTAAGAGAAATCTACGTCACGATGTCAGGACATTTCCAAGAGCCCACGGCAAGTCTGGCTTGTGATTCCACGAAGCCAGACCACCTCGCTGCGACGTTCTTTACTTTCCGGCACTGGTCTGGAAGCAGGAGGAAAGCTGAGTGGCTTCCGCCAAGGGTGAGATCTTCCAGGGTGCAGAGGAGGTAGAAAGTGGACGGGATACAGGAGTTAAGGGAATCGTCGTCACGGTAATGACCCGTGGAGTCCAAGTTCACCGAGGAGATGGCGAAGTGGGATCGGGAGGTCGGAGGGTCAGGGACCGTAGCGACACGGGGAGTAGGGAAGGGAGCTGAGAGGATGGGAAGCTTGAATCGGGCTCCCGGAGGGGCCACCATCTCTGGAGTGTGGTCACAGGACAGATGGCTGCCAGCCACGGGAGAAGGGAGACCGGGCTTCGGGACTCTGACATCCCTGGAAACGGTGGCCGAATAGGGGTGGAGGGCATGTGTTCGGTGAGGGGCTTACCTCCTTGGACAGTGACAAGGACATGATCAGAGGACAGCAACAGGGGGCGGGAGCAGGTGGGGTCCAAGATGCGGGACCCAGAGGGTCTTGGGAGGTGGGGCTAGTTGACAGCACATAGGAGGAGAAGTGGCTCAGAAGGGGCACGGAGGAGGCCAGCCTCACCGCTTGGCCCATGATAATGTGCGTAAGAGATAAAACGTGTCCCCCTCGAGGCCGCGGGGGAAGCAGTGTCTGCGGGGAAATGGGCAGAAGGTAGTGGACAGAGGCCCTCAGAGGTAGAGTGACCGTGCGTTCTGGTTTGCCTGAAGGGTCCCGATTTACGCCTGCTGTTCCAGAATACTTTTAAAGAATTCCCCATGACTTTCAAGTGCCCCCATATAGAAAATTAAAAATACAGTCACCTAACTCAGCAGGGTGGTTGAGGATATAGCAAGTACTAAATAAACAACAGGTGACTTGTGTCAGGTAGCCACCCTTTCGCAATCTGTCCTCCCTTTTAGAAAAACAGACTTCCTTCCAACCCCACTCCACCCCCAACAAAAGGTCGCTAATGCTTCCAGGCGAAATCGTGATTGCTTAATACATTCCAGCCCCACTCCTCCCCCAAAGCAACGACCTACTCTCAGGTCAAGTTAGTATTTCACTCTAGAGTCTGAAAGGAGGGTATTAGCCCTGGGTGTACGTGCAGCTCAATGGGTAATTCCTTTACTTTAAGAATAAAGAATGTTTAATGGAGTTATGGGGTCTGTACAGGTGAGAAGTTGACTAGATTAGAGGTAGGGAGATGGGGGTATTTCCCCACATTGAACCCCACATGGATCCCCATTCGGATGACCCAGGCCAGCAGAATTACAAAACAAGGGATGATTTTAATGTTCCGGACAAACCTCATCCAAGAACGAACTTACCTTGGCACTTCTATTCAGGTAGCTGCGGCCGAATTTCTTGAGGTTTTGGAAGGTTATGTCCTCAAACGGCATTTTGTAGCTCGCGTCGGAGCTCAGATTTAGGATTTGGACAGATGGGACATTGACCTCTGTGATCCGGAAGTATTCGAAGATCCGTCCATTTCTGGGTTCGTCTGCATCCACGAGGATGCAAAGGATCTGTCAAATCAGATGACACCTGTGTCCTTCTGGATCGGAGGCCGCGAAGAGGGTAAGGAATTGAAATTGGGTGACGAATCGCGTAGGGATGGGGAGAAACTGTCGGGAAGCTGTGGGAGGGCAGTAGTGGAATACAAATAGCGGGGTCCACACGGCTCCCCAAAGGATGCGGCAAAGTCTCCCTCCCATCGCCGGTGCGGCTCTGCCTCCCAGTTCCTTGGGCGAAGCAGCAGCTTCCCCTCTCTGTGCCTCAGTTTCCTTATCTGTAAAGTTGTGGTTCTAACAGGACCCGCCTTACGGGGGCGCTGTGAGAATTAAACAGGACAGTGGACGTAAAGGCTTAGTTCAGCGACTGGGGGGTATTGACGCTCAAGACACGTCCACCTTTCTTATTCTAAGTTCTTCTTCTCTCAAGGAAATCTGTGACTTCATTCATTCATTCATTCATTCATTCAACAAATCTTCGTGGAGCCCCTACCAAGCTTTTTGCTAAGCGGACAGCATCCACGCCCTCACGGAGCTTACATTCTGGCGGGGAAGGCAGACAGCAGGACGGGTAAACAAACTAATAAATCCCGTGGGACAGCAATCCGATCGTGAGCGCCTCAGAAATCCTAAAGTTTAATGTGGAATGAACCAGGAAATATATTTACAGGAAGTATTGCCATGATTAGCGAATCATTCCTGGGGAATAATGAGGTAGAATGAAACGTGGACGTTAAACATGTTCACGCCCTAGCGGCTTTTCTCTGTGTTTAATTTGGTTGTCAACGTTTTTAATTGGTTTGTTTGAATCTCTGAGTTATTTTCTTCAAAAGAAAAAAAAAAAATCTGCCGTAACCATACATCTTAGAAAAAGGAAAAAAAAATGACCAGTCCCGTAGTCAAGGTGATGGTAACTACAGAAATATAGGTACAGTGCTTAGGAAAAACAAATTAATAATAATAATAATAGTAAAAGTAACAATAATGATAATATTCCCTGTTTATTGTACGTACTTGCTCGTCGATCTACATATAGCACCTTTAATTCTCACCACAAATCTCTGTTTTCCGCATGAGGTGACTGAGGCTAAGAGATTAAGAAACTCATGTAAGACGTAAGATGAAACCCACTCGTCAGGAAGAGTCTGGACCCAGGCCTAAGATATCAGCGATTCCGTGTGGGACGGTCTGTGCCGCCTCGTGCCTCCGGGAGTCTCACGCTCCCTGACCTCAGGCAGCACGGGGTCTGGCCACCTTCTCCCCTCCAGGCCAAATGCTACCCCCGGTGCAGTCACCCACTCTTAGTGGGGTGCGGTCGTCAACAAAGCGGCCAAACCATCGTGTTCCCGTAGTAGACTTATCAAAAAGATGAGGGAAGGCGGAGCGTAGAATCCGCAAGGAAGGCAGAGGCACTGGACTGGACAGGAAGAAGGGAGGAGGCTGATCTAAAATCCAATAGCAAGTCATCAGATGGCATCGATATGCAAATCAGGAAATCAGCATACGAGTGTACATGCAAATCCTTCCTGCTTACTTTGTAATCGGCAAGGCGGGCCGGGCAGATGGCACAGGTCTTCGAATCCCACCCAGGAGCCCCACTAAAAGCACGGCGCCTTCCACAAACCTTGTTTTGGAATTCCTTCGAAGCCAGCTTGTAATGCTGCATTATCAAACCAAAGGCCCTGGAGCTTTTAGAGACGAAGAGCAGCATGTGATTCAGGATGTGCAGCTCGTAAATCAGATCCTTATTCTGAAATGACAGGGAGGACAGGTCACCTCGCGTGCACGGCTGCCCCGGCCACCCTTCTCCCCGGGGCCCTTTGCCCACGGACCTCGGTGTTGTATTCGATGACAAAACCTGTGAGTTGCTGCTTTATGACCTGGTTGAGGATTTGCTTGTTTGTACTGTCATTCAGAAGCTCCTGGCGATTCACAATATTTCCCTTGGACAAAAGAAGAAAAACGTTGGAGGGCAGTAGCTTCCACGATGTAGGCACTTAATAAATATAAGTAGCACAGTTTACCCCTTGGATAAAAAGAAAACACCGTGGTGACCATGTGACCCACAATCTAGGCACTTCGTAAGTGTGGACGGCTGGGCAGATTAGCCCGTGGGTCTGTGGGTACGTGGCAACCACGAAGATCTGCCGTCTACAAAGGCAGGGAGTGTCGCCGACCATCGGCTGCAGCCACCTCGCTGTGAATCCGTCAGCGCATTCATGCTGGTGCTGGGCAGTTTCTCCCACACTGCTTCCAGCCACTGACTGAACATGTCGGGCACAAAGGCAGCTCCATGTGTGCAGACAGAGGGCTTTCCGCTAAGTGACTTTGATGAACTTTGTAAGAACTCCCCTGCAGTCAAAGACCCTCCCTCCCTCCCTCCTTCCTCCCTCCTTCCCTCCCTCCTTCTTTCCTTCCTTCCTTCCTAATTCAACACATATTTCTAAGCTGCTTCTAGGCCTTGAAGATATAAATATGAATAGAATCAGGCAATGACCTCCAGGGGTCTCATTCAAGGGAGGGAGTAAGATTAACAGAGTGTTGGCCAGGCTGTAATTGAACATAATAGGCGCTCAATAAACATATGTTGAACAAATAAGTGAACAAATGTAGTATTATAATAGGTTATCACAGAACAAGCTCCCTCCCTCCCTCCCTTCTTCCGGCCAGGCCTACATCATGATATTACGAGTCCCCCCAGCTCCCTCTCCCTTCGGTGGAAGGAGGGATATGTGGATTTAGCTTCGGTGTTTTTTACCCCCTATGGTTATCCAAGTCTTTCAACACCGCTCATTGAATAACATATTTTCCCTATTGTTCTAAAATATCTTTATCATATACTAAATTTCCATATGTATTTGAATCTATTTCTGGATTCTGTCTTGTCCCATTCAAAAACTCAAATCTGGTCATTTTATTCTCCAGATTAAAACCTCTGAGTGACTTCTACGAGTCCAGATAAAAATACGGTGGCTCACAGTCCTCTCTGAAAGTCAAGCAGATCTGGGTATCATTCGACCTACGTCCCGTGTGACCTTGGGGAAGTGACCCAGCCTCTCTGCGCCGTATCTACAAGTCACATGGTTATCGCAAGGATTTGGCTTTGTGTGGGGGAGGGGGCGACGCACGTTTCAGGAAGCAGACCCCAGTCTCTCGAGTGACACTGTTCAACAGAGCATCCTAGGATGTTGGAAATGCTCTGTACATCTATGCTGTCCGGTGGAGCCACCCTCCACGTCGCTGGTTTGATCGAGGAACTAACATTTTAATTTCATCTAATTAATTTAAAATTTAAAGGAAGGGGAGGAGGAAGGTATGTAATAGAGGCTCAACTGCAGAAGGCCTTGTGAGTCCTATCAAGGACCTGAGTCTTTTTCCTAGAATAATAAGAAAAAGAATAAGAACAGGAAACCCTTAAAGGGTTTTCAGTGGGAAGAAGGAAAATGGCCAATGGATTTTGGAAAGACCACTCTTTAGAGGACGAGAGAGAACATGGCAGATCAGTCGAGTGGATGTGGCATTCGGCGCTGGGAGATGATGGTCACCGAGTCTAGGATAGTAGCGGTCGAGATCAATGAATAGATTCCAGGGATGTTCTAGATTTAAAATCGGAGGCTTTGGAATGATGCCTGGGTGAACTTCTGGCTTTGCCGAGGTGGCAGATGCGGGAGGCGATGGTGTCTTTCCTCGAGAGAGAGGAAACACGGGAAGAAGACTGGGAAGGGAGATTACGTCTGCAGGCTCGGCCGTGCCGAGACATCCGGTGATGGATAGAAAGACCCGGAGCTAAGAGCCGGTGTGGAGATGGAGGTTCGTAAGTCATGGCGTCTGGATAGTAACTGCCGATGGAGGGTGGGCGGGAGAGCGTGGACCGGAAGGAAGTCCAGGGCAGAATGTTGACAGTGAAGGAAAGGTGGACGAACTCGCAGTGGGGAAATGGCTAGACAGGCTGGACAAACACCAGGAGAATGGGTTCTGCAAAAGCCAACGAGCCTCATGTCACTTGGCTCCCAAGTGGCAGGGCCGGAATCTGTACCGAAAGCCCATGCGTATGCGCGGGAGTCCCCCGTTTGGAGTCAGAGACTTCTCCCCAGCAGCAGGACCAAAGACCCACCTTTTTGAACACCAGGACGCTGTCCAGGGTGACGTGGAAACGGCCGACGGCGTCACGGATCGCGATCACTCCGAATGTCAGCGCTGGGAAGCCTTTGATCACTTCATAGAACAGCTCTGCCGCTTCATCCTCTAGATCCTGTTTGGGGAAGGATGTTTGATAGAGAGCAGGATGCCTGGCTTCTTGAAGGGCAAGGGAAGGGCATTGGGAATCATGACCGATGGGTCTCCTTACCTTTGCGAGTTCTGGGGTTCTGCTGGGTCACCCAACTCCCCTTTCATGGATGTCTCATACCCAGAATACTTCTCTGATTAGGCCAAAATAGGCAAGCCCACAGAGACGAATGGAGAGAATGGATAAACTTGACCTTTTCCATGTATTAAGGTTGAGACTTTTAATGTTAATTCCTTCACGGCTGTTAGAAGAGGCACTTGATGTGACCACATGGAGTATCAAATATAAATTTGGTATTAAGGTAGTATGGCCGTGGTGCCAGCCTTCTTCATTCATTAGCTTAAAAGAAAATTGGGGCCCAAAACGCTGTCCAAAAATGGGACAGGATACTCCCGCCGCGTATAACCATAACGCCAAAGTTCCGACCTCCGCTGAGAGAAGGGGAGGGGTCATCGAAGTCATGGGAAAAGAGTTTAGACACGTAAGAAACTCATTCTCCAAAAGCGAAAACACTTTGCCAATTATCGGTCATTCGGTGCCGTTCTAAATGGAACCCCCCCAAAAGATCAGTTACGCTGTCGAAACCAACCCCCAAAATACGTCCGTCTCCTCTCTCCGTCCTGCCCCGCTCCCTAGCTGGGTTCCCCGGCCATGCTCGGCTTCCATGTTCCCTTTCTTCATTTTAAACCCGCAGTTCCCTGCCCCGCCTCCCCCAGGTCCCAATCTCCAAAAACCAGCTCTTTGGAAAACGAAGAATGGGTATGGAATTAACCCAAGGGGAAGACCTCTCCTCACCCACCCCACTCCCAGACACAGGCGTCCTCACCAGTTGAAAAGCCACCTCTTGAACCCAGTACCTGGAAGAAGCCGATGATGACCAAAGGCCTGGATTTCACAAAATCTGTCACCTGCTGGGTGTCAGTGAACAAGAACGCCTTCTGGCTAATCTGTCTTCTCAACCAGACGACCAAGGCGGCAGATTCAACCACTCCTGTGGAGAGACAGCGACATGGATCCCACAGAGGTCTCCTCGAGGCCTGTCTTTCCCGGATTTAATCAGCAGAAGCCTCTTGTCTTAGGGTCCTATCCTTGGAAGGCCATTGGGTTAGTTCTCCTGCCCCCAGCCCCAAGCCCCAAGGGATGGATATTAGCAGCAACGGCGAAACTTTACTGAGCACTTGCCAGGAACCAGCACTGTCTGGAGCCCCGAGCCTTTGCCTACATTACCTCCCACAACAACGCTACCCTAAGAGATATTCCTTTTCCCCCCACAAGGAAATTGAGGTTCAACTCACGGACGGCCACCCCACTAGCAAACCTGGGGAGGAAGCAAACTCAGCTTTTTTCCCTTAGCCACCCTCCGAAGTGACAGTAAGATGGATTTATTTTTTTAAAAAAAATATAAATAAAGAGAATGTAAATCCAAAGACCAGCGAGCTCTGACCTTGGGAGAATTCTATCATTTTGCGTCTGCAGTTTCTGAGCCGAGACGCAAATGTTTGCTGAGGTCATAGATCTCAACTTTCATTTTCTCAGCGATCAGATGGGAGGTGCCGAGCACACAAAAATCTCGGCTTCTAAAATTGGGGGATAACAGTGTGTCAGAATGGACACGGGGTGACCAATGGACCCGTGTTTGCTGGGATCATCAATTTCACATGATGGCGAATCACGTAAAATAGGATTTTCTGTCGAAGCCCGCTGCAGGACAGAATGGAGCATTTAGAATGAGTTTGGAGGATCAAGCGTGTTTGTCGTGAGCAGCTTCGGGCTACGCCCACGGGTCTTTACTGGTTCACGTGGTCATTTACTCCTTCACCCTTCTCTCACTGGATGAATGCCCGTTGGGTGCCTATTATGACCCCAAGTGCTGCGCTTGGGCCCGGGGTTTTCATGGTGAGCAGCGCAGACACGTTTCACGGCTCTCATTCTGTGAAGGACGGACCGTGATTACACAGCGAACGTATGAGCCCAACCAAAGGAGTATCTGAAAGCAAAGTTTGATGAGCCTGTAGCAAAGATGCATGACCTAGACCGTGAAGTCAGGGAGGGCTGCCTGGAGGAAGTTCCTGATGAGCCGAAAGCTGAAGGATGCGTAGGTGTCAATCAAGAGGCAATAGGCAGAGGGAAGGGCTTCCAGGCAGAGCAGGCAGCCCGAGCAAAGGTCCTGGGACGGGACAGATTGCTCACGGGGCTTGACGAATGCACGCCGAGTTGCTGAATCGACTATTTTCCACATCTTCATTTAATTTCCTAAGAACATGAGTCCTTTTAAAGACTCGTCACGAAGTAGATGTACACTCAGAAACGTGTACAAATCAGAATGAATAGTGTGATGAATTTTCACGAAACGAACACACCCGAGTAACTATCTCACAGATCAAGAAATAGGACATTACCAGGCCCTCAGAAGTCCCTGCTGTGCCCCTTCCTAGTCCCTCCCCCACCCAGAGGTAACTTCTGTGCTGACTTCCCAATGGGGCTTGAGTCTGCCTGCCCTTGAACTTCATATGAATAGAATTATAAACTGTGTGTTCAGGTCTGGTTTCGTTATGTCTGTGCGATGCCACGTGTACATTCCACCATTTATCTGCCCATTCTCCGTGAGCTGGCATTGAGGTGTCTTCCGGTTTGGGGCCATTCAGAATGAATTCTCAGGCACGTCTCTGGGGGCGCATCGTCCGCACTTGGGCTGGGCACAAGCCCAGGAGTAGAATTTCTGGCCATAGGGGACGCCGTGGTCAGCTTTAGTAAATACAGATCAGGCCATTTAAAAAGCCACAGTGAGTCAGGCCTATGGAAGTTCATGGAAGTAGGATGTGGCGGTCTCAGGGGACAGACAGGGGTCCGGGAGGCTTCCGGCCACCCTCGGTCAACAGGACGACACCCCCAGGGCAGTCACCCAGATTCGGCCCCGAGGTTGAGCTTCTAATTTCGCGGCCATCTTTCGGGAAGAAACAAGCACGTATGTGTCTTGGAAACAAACTTTCTCTTATAGGCTTTTGCCTGGAAAAACAATTCTGTTGTAAGGGATTGGTTTAAAAATTCCGAAAATATCAAAAAAAGGTGAACGAAAACCCTGCAAACTGGTTTACATTTCAGGTCATTGGAACCATCGCTCCGATGGCACTTGGGGCGTCTACCGGTCCTTGCACCCCACCCCCCCTCCCCGCCCTGTCTGCCCTCAAGGGCACCACCTGCTTATGCAATGCTCCATGTGGTGCTTTCCCGCCCCTCCCCCGCCCATTTCTCTCTAGTTTTATGACTTGCATTTTCTTCGAGTCTGTCTCGTCCAGAAATTTTCATTTTTGGCAGACTCGCACAGTTCCTCCCCTAATGTCAGGCTCATACTAGGTGTCGAAGAAATAAAGGACGGATAAATGAGAGCCGTGACTGAATCGCTGGATGAGCTGGCTTGCGGGAACTTGAACTCGGGCCCTTCTCTCTGGGAGTGTGAGCTCCATTTGCCCTTCTGGACCGCATGGGACTGAGGTAGCTCTGAATATAATAGGGCACTGTGGGGCGGGTGCGTCCCCCCCTTGGCTCTGAGCCAGAGGACACGGTGTCAACCAAGGTGTGAATGCCCTGTCAATGAGTGACTGGGGCTGTCGCCCTGCTGCATATTTTCAGGCACAAGCTGTGAACGCATCATTAACTGAGGCCCTGCAGTTAACCTGAGTCTCCCTCCCTCCAGGAAGGCGGCCAAGGCCAAGTCCTTGGGGACTAGAGGAGAAGGGGGCCGGGACTTTGGCACAACAAGGGCTGAACCCCATCTGTCTCCTGCCAGGTGGGCAGAACTTTGGCACAACAAGGGCTGAACCCCATCTGTGTCCTGCCAGGTGGGCAGAACTGGCCCCCGCCATTCACCCTGTTTAGGAAACAAGAAATCGATCCGGGCCCTGGCTCCATCCCGGCGTGGATTTTGGGGGCCGGGGGGGTGGTGATACTGAGGAAGAAGCGGGGCGGGAAAGCCCAGCAGAAACGCGGGGTGGCACCTGACGCCAAGCCTGCCCTCGCAACTTCGTCCCAGGCACATTCAAACACCGTTCGTAAGGACCGGGGGACCGAAGGGGGTCGGGACTCTAATCATTTGATAACAACAGCCACATCCGCCACTGAGTGCAGCACGGTGTGCGACAGGGCCCACAGGCCAGATCTGGCCCGCCAACTAATTTTATAAATAAAGTTTTATTGGTACACGGCCGCACCCGTTTGCTTATACGCAGATGCTTTCCTACCACATCAGCGGAGTTAAGGTTGTAAAAGAGGTTGTCTGGCCCTTTACAGACAGCATTTGGAGATCCCATGGAGCCTTGAGGAAGTTACCCCGTGGCTCTGAGCCTCAGTTTCCCCCCCTGTAAAAGCACCTCCTACACGGGGTTGTCGTGACGTAAGAGACGAGACAGGAACAGAGGCCCGAGCACAGGAAATGCATCCGGTGTGCGTCAGGGCTTGTGCCTTGCAGATTTGCTTCATCGCCACAGCAACCCCGGGAGGAAGATACTTTCACCATCCTCGTTTTACAGGCAAGGAAATCAAAATTCGACAAGGAGGCTTGATTGTTCCCCTGGGCACGTAATGAGGATTTGAAGCCACCAAGGTGCCCACCAGTTCTGGAAGCCTCTTCGGAGGACCCAGGGGAGGAAGCGCGATCGGCCTCGTGAGCTCTGGAGAGACGATAACGGGGAACAGATACAATTCTGTGAAGTGGGGACTTGCAGGGGAAGCACAGGTGCTGTGGAACCCCACAAAAGGCGCAGGCACCCCAACTCGGCAATCAAGGGAGACTTCCTGGGGAGGCGATAATGAAGTTTCCTGCAGGGCAGAGGTGGTCCCAAGCACTGGCTTCCACCACAGAGGGACTCGGACAGTCTGAAAGTTGCCGCATTGCCATCTTGCTGCCTCTAAGTGGAGTCAGGACTTGGAGTGGCGCGTCTCCGTCCCTCCCCTCTCTTCTCCTGCCCTCTCTTCCCATCTCTTCTCTTCCCTCGTTCACACGGCCCCTGCCACAAGCCGGCTGGGAGCCACAGCCCTGCCAGGCCTTTCCTGTAACCTGCCCTGAGGCCGGCACTTTGGCACCATCCTCTGCTAGTCTGGCCTGTGTGTCTCATGCCCCCTTGTGTCCATTCTGAGAACTGCAAGGCATCCCTCCGCCCCTTCAGGCGGTGGCACACCCGGGGTTCTGTGGTTCTTACAATGACTCAAACAGGCTTATTGCAGACCTGCGAAACCCCAGGCCCGGAAAAAAGGCGACCTGAGTTTCCTGAGCGTCAGTCATTCAGCACACGCATACTGGGAACATCCTACCAGCGTGGCACTGGCTTTGCTGGGCGCAGCTGCGTTCATCAGATCTAATTTTAGATCTAATTTTTAGATCTAATTTTTTCCAAGTAGGTCCTACCATGTGCCACACTGAGGCACATAATTCTTCAGGCATCCTTGACATCAAGATAGGGCTTGACATGTAGTAGGCTCTCAATAAAAGAAAAAAAAAAAAGCATTGAACGAACGAGTTAATGAATAAAACGATGATGAGAGAAGCAAAGCATTTGGTAGGCATCCTGTCTCAGAGCTGTCTCGTTCCATCATTCCCCAGTTTCCCTTTTGGTCAACCAGTGCTTCCTTGGCCTGGGACCCGTCAAAATTATTCTAAAGTAGAAGATTGGGAGGGAGGGATTTAGGTGGAGTTAAGAACTCGCTCTCTGGTCTTTGGTAGTTTAGAAACCATGCACCTCACTCTCTGACCTCATGGTGCATCTAGGGCCCAGCAGCTGAGATGAAAGTGGTCATGAGATGCAGCTACATGCCCACCCAAATCTATTTTATTTTCCTATGGACACAGCGCGGAGCCATACTGATTAATCTTTCAGTGGGTGGAGCCGTATAACAGAATTTTGGCCAATAGAATGAGAATAGAAATGCTGTTTGCCACTTCAAGCCTGGGCCACGAACACCACTGGTAGCAGTCCTCTGCCTCCTTACTGCAGCTGCTGGCAGGACACAGAAGAAATAGCAGGTAGCTCAGAGGCCCTAGGGGAAGACAGAGCCACATGCCGAAAAGGGCCTAGGTCCTTGAAAGACTGTGTGGAGCAGAGCCCGCCATCTCCCCCCTGAGGCTGCCAACTGCATCTTACACGAGCAAGGACTGAACTTGTAATTCAGTTAAGCCACTAAAATGCTGGTGTTCATATGTGTTTCCACAGCTAGCATTACTTCGACTGACACACAAGCACCCATTACCTTTGCAGCTGATGGGCTCCGACCTGTTGCCCTCAAAAAACAGCTTCAACTCCGGAGTCTTCTGAATGTCAAATTCCTTCCGAAGTTCCTTCTCAACCGTGACGTCCACTTTGCCGAAGCCGACCCCGTTCTTGCCTTTGCCCATGATCTCCACGGCTTTGCCCAGCTCCTCGGCTAGGTTCCTGGACTGCTTGGAGGATGGGTTGTCTGAAAGAGTCAGTATGAAGCAGAATTCGCTAGAGCCTCTGTCAGTCACATCTCACAAGGAAGGGGCTTGGTGTTGCCTGCTCAGCCCCTGGGCCTCTCCTGCTCTGTTGCTAGTGGGTAAATTTTCAGAGAAGGGACACATGGTCTGTGAAATTGACCGATTTGGGAGACACACATCAGGGTGTTTTTTTTTTTTTTTTTAATAGCAGGGGCTTGGCAACGCTGGAAATGATGTAACTTCGGGCAGTAAATCTCCACGGTCACCGAGCCCCACTTTCTTCACGAGTAAAATGGGGCAAATACCGATTACCTCATGGAGTTGGCGGCGTCGAAGGATTTATTTAACAATCCGTTGTATGATGCTTATTGTTTCCTAAGAGCTTGGATTAAGTCACGTAACAGATCAAGTCATTTAATACTCCCACTACCACTATGGGGTAGGTATTATTATCTCAGTTTTATAGATGAAACTGCTACACAACAAAATGACCTATACTCACTCAAGGCCATACGGCAGTAAGAGGTATAGCCAAGATCTAGACGCACGCCGTCAGCTTTCTAACCTCCACTAAGCCTGTCGAACCCTTAGCACAATGCCTGGTATATAATAAGTACATAATGAATTTATCGTTATATAACAGCATACCGTTATTATATACTAATATGTTAATATTATATATAAAAATGCATACAGATTCTATGTAAATGTATAGAAATATATTACACGAATATTAATATATAATGTACATATAAAAAGGGTACCATTTTTGTAAAATATCCATGGTCAGAAATTAGACAGGGAGAAAGAACGAGAGGGTATGAGCGCCATCTGGTGGAAAATCGTAGAGTTGCAGGCCACATTGGGCCTCTTAGGGAGAAAGAACAAGAGAGTATGATCGCCATCTGGTGGAAAGTCCTGGAGATAACAGGCCAAATTGGGTCCCTCCGGCAGCCTTGGAAGCGCATAAAATATGGTAGGGGACTCTCAAGTAAGGCAGGCCAGGAATGGGAGGGGTGGGTAGGGCGAGGTTATGATGCTTACTTATCCCTTCTAAGCCCACACCCCTGGGGGTTGTCAGTTATGAATTAACTCATACTATGAATTAAGATCTGTATGCCGACAGATGGTGACTAGACTTGCAATGATCACATCATAAGGTGCATAAACGTCAAAGCTTTATATTGTGCACTTGAAACTACTATATTATATGCTAACTATACTTTAAAATTAAATTTAAAAAGAACCCTTGGCTCCTCGCTTTGCTGGGCAGTGGATGAGGAGGCTTTTTCTGGAAACAGCCTCAGGGAGGTGGCATGTCATGTTGGCAGCAGGCTTCCCAGCCCAAGGCTTGGAGGGACTAAAAGGCAGTAGAGTTTGCCTTTCTTCCTCCTGATAACATTGTGGGCCTGTAGGTCCCTCCTCTGGCCCCTCACCACCTGATGTCGGTGGCAGTGGGCTGAGCCAGGGCAAGAGTCATCGACTCCTTTTCAATCCAAAATGCTTTATCTTTTTCAAATCCCCTTTGTCTATCTGGAACACTTGGAGGAAGTGCAGAGCGCCTCTAGTGGCATTGGCAAGTTCCAAGTTCAACAGAGAGGTCTCTTGTAAAGCAAACTGCAGAAAACTGGGCCCTGGACTCTTGGCACATGCCCCATTGCCAGTCAGCACACCTGCTCCTGTGATGGAACCCAAAAGTGAATGATCGTTTTCATTAAATGCCCGGTCAATGGACAGAAAGTGGGACTTTTCACTCCCTTGTAGATCGATGCCCGTCTACTGCCTGCTTTGCCACCATGATTGCCTTCAATAACCCTCATCCATCACCTCCAGCAGACTCTGGCCCGATGCCAGCTGCTCTGGCCTGCGGGCCTCTACCCTGGCTGCCTTATGGAGTCAGCCACACATGACTCGGGGTTGCTGGCTGACACGGCATCCGAATCTGAGTTTCCAAGGAAAGAAGCTCAGAGTGAGAGAAACACAGAATGATTGTCCAAGTGGTGGGGGTTTTAGAGATTCCACACACAGCCCAGCTCCTCAGCGGCCAAAACGGAAGTGAAAGAGGTTGCAGCAGCTGGGATGCTGAGAAGTGAGAGCTACATCGATGGGATCCATCCATCCATCCATCCATCCATCCATCCATCCATCCATCCATTCAGCATCCATCCATCCACCATCCATTCACCATCCATCCATCCACCATCCATCCATCCACGATCCATCCATCCATCCATCCATCCATCCACCATCCACCATCCATCCACCATCCACCGTCCATACACCATCCATCCATCCATCCATCCATCCACCATCCACCATCCATCCATCCACCATCCATGATCCATACACCATCCACCCATCCACCACCCCTCC